TGGTGAGAGGACGGCCATCACGAAAGCGGCCGAGCCTTGGAGCAAGGAAGCTTGCTTCGTGACGAACCTCAGGCCAACCAAGAGTAAGTGGTTCGCTGGCCACTACGTGGACTTGACGGAGAAGGCCTGCAAGGCTAAGGCGACTCCGGTGGCTGCTTCCCACCCTCAAGCCATGGGCCTGCAGAAGCTCTTCCCTCTGGCGAGGTCGGACTTCTCCGTGATCGAGCAGCAATGCCAAGGGCGAGAGCGCGTGGACGTCATCGGAGTGGTGACGGAGCTGGAGACGCCGCCGACTAGCAAGCCGAAGGCCAACCTGTGGCTGAAGGACTTGTCTGGCAAAGAAATGCTGATCAACGTCTGGGGTAACCGCTTGGTGGATCTCCTGTCCACTGCGCACACAGGAAGTGTCGTTCAGATCGACAACCTGTCCATCGTCAAGAAGGACAACGGTTCCCTCGAAGGGACGGCGGAGCACTTCTTAGACAACGACAAGCACGGATTCACACTCCTGCACCTGGAACCGCAGGGCTTGCGGGCGGACAAGCTTCGCGACCTGGGCGCTGCGCCGGGCGATCGCATTTCCGTTCCTTGGTGCCCTTCCTTGATTGGCGGCGGTAGGCTGATCTCCGACTTGCGTTCCTGCTTCGTGGCATGCGCGGCAACTATGAATGCGTTTGGCAGCGCCATGGAGCAGGGCGCGGCACAGGACTGGCTTCGCCCTAGACGCTAAAGCCTGAACCCTAAACCCATATCCCTGCCGCGGTCTTTGCTTGCCACAGGAGAAAGTTGAAGTTGCGATGCACTGCGTTTGGCTCGTGGACGTCCTCGGGGATCCAGTCTACACCGCGTGTAAAGTCTGTTCCAGTAAAATCGATCCCATGACAAACAAGTGCAAGCGATCTGACACTGGATGCCCAACGGAGCCTGCGGATGCCGCTCGCATCTTGGCCACCGTGCACTTGGCAGATTGGACGGGACAGCTGAGCAACGTGCTCGTGGGAGGACAGGAGCTGGCATCGTTGAGCCAGGTGAAGGACGAACAGGCGCTGGTCCAGTTGCTGCAGGCCAAGGGCACCTCAGCAATTTGCTTCCGGGGACCCTTCGATGCGCGCCTGGGCACGTCTCAGCGCCTCGGGCAACCGCGAGCCTCCGGCCAGCAAGCTTCGCAGGCGAGTGCCGTCGGCGCGGTTGGACAACCGACTCAGTTTCAGGTGTTGGCGGCTCGCCAATGCTTCGGCGAGGCGTACGACGACGACAAACGGCCCATGGTGAAGAAGGTGACGCGCCTCATGTCTGAGAAGAAAGACGGCGCCGTGCTTCCTGTGCGGTGTCCGTTGACGGACTTGTCTTGCTCGGACATCGGCACTTTCTTTCTGAAGGGTAACGTGTTCGCGAACTACGTGTCCGTGTTGGCCTTCGCCAAGGACGACCCTGTGATCGAAGAGCTGACCATCAATGACGAGAAGCATCTCGTCACCAAGCACCAGAAAGTCTTTTCAAAAGAGATGTTCGATGCGAACAAGCCCTTCGCCATCGAAGCGTTTTGTCATTTCACCAACTGCCATCTCTTCAACATGGCAGACGGCGCTACGCGTTTCCTGGTGGGGCGTGTCCTGAAGAACGAGGCGACGGAGGAGGTGACGCTGCATGTGGAATGGATGTGCAAAGTCACGGACGCGCAAATCGGCCACATTATCAAGGAGCGTGAGCAGGTCTGGAGCCTGCTCGAGGACGGACCGACCATGCAGACTAACAAGCGGCCGGCCACCAGTCTCGTGGAGGAAACGCCGCTCAAAGTGAGGTGCGCCGCCTGGGACTGAGTTCTGGTCCGAAGCCTTTCGCTACAAGCGAG